TGGGGGAGGATGGTAGACAAGAAATAGTGACTCTAGGACACAGAAATAGTGCCTCTAAGACTGGAAGAGGCTGACATGTCATCCAAGGGCATGAGGGAGGGTTCAAAGCATGAATCAGCCATAGAAGGAAGGGAGGTGGGAAGGTCAGAAGGAGCTAAACAGCCATCACAAGATACCAAAAAACTGCTTTTTAAAACTGATGAAGGGAGAAATGGTGCTGCAAGCATAATATTTATATATGTGGAAATCACCGAACAAGCAGGAAAAATGACCCATGGGGGTGGGGGTGGCGGGGACAGCGGAGAGTGGTTATTTCTAAGAAGTAAAGCTGCTAAGTGAAGGAAGAGAGAGGGAGAGATACTTGTTCTTTTCCATGAGAAGCTTTTCTGTAGCATTTTCTGTTTTTAGCCATTTGCATGTATTACTTTGACTGAATTTTTTTTTCTTTTTTTAATGAAAGATCCTCTATAAGACCATTGTTTAGACCACAGCAGGAGGATTCTTCTCAACTTCTACCAGGCCTGACGGTGGTGTGTTGAGAAGACTGCAGCTGGCTTTACGCTGTGTTTACTTTATTTTAATCTTAGCAAAGTCATGTTTAAAATCTACAAGTGCAGTAGGCATTTTACAGTTCTGGAAAGCTGTCCAATTCTGGTTTGTTGTAAACAGAATAGAAAGGCTTTGATGGTCATTTTAGATTGTCAGAATATGGGGCTTCACAGCTAAAAAAAACAAGAGAGTCATTTTCAAGATACATATTCAATAGGCACAAGTATTCAGAGACTTGGAGTCCATGAAATAGAATCAATTTTTAGACAGCAAAGGCTCAAATCTCAAGTTCTCCAGGAAGGCTTTTGAATTTTGAAAGAAATTAACTGACGAGCATAATTAGCCAAAAAGCTTAAGAGACAGCACATTCTACAACATCCATGGATTAAATTTAATTACGAAAAATGATCTGGAAATGGTTACTGTTGTTGTTCTGCAACATTTAGCAAATACAGACAACAGAGGAAGGACCCCAGCACAAGTCTGGAAATCCTGATCAAGGAGATAATGCTAATTAGGACTCACTCCCAGCCACTCTGGGAGCCCACAGCGGGTGGCAAGGGGCAATGCCTACAGTCGACAGAGTCACCTCGGGAAACCAACTAATGGAGATGGCAGGAAGACAGAAGTGCATAACAGATTACATTTTTAATGAAGAAAAGCAAGCACAGGAACAACTTATCTTTTCTGACATAGCCATTTAAGTGACTGATACAGAGTAACAAATAGCTACGTAGATCCTGCCTTGAATTTTACAGATTCAATCCTCTCCTAAACAGCACTGGGAACTAAAAATTCCCCAAGAGCCAAAAACAATGTTTTTCATTTAAAATCAGTTTTAAAATATTTTTCCTTACTAGCCTGCAGGGAACATGGAGATAAGTTCAGATTATTGCATCTATTCTCAAATCTGGAATATACCATGAGTCATTAAGTTAAACACTAAACAAATCATTTATCATATGCTCCCCTCCATCTACTCTCCATCAATCTCTCTCATCTCTCACTTGCTTGCAATGCTTTAAAGCATCGTGTTTATTCTTGTGAAGCATGGCTGTCTCACATTTAATAGCTCATCGCTACAACATCTCACCCAGCATGGCCTTGCCTTCTGAGAGGCTCACAACATGACTGATTGATAACATTGCTCATTTTTTAAATTTTATTCAGAGTAGGACTGGCCCAGTTCCCTACAATTCTACTTCCTCTCATTTATGTCAAAATAAAAGTGCCTCCAGCATTTATTCATAACTTCAGACACTTCCAGAAACGTCAACATTTCAGATCATCTCTCTTATTCCTATACATTTAAGATAAGTGTTTCTGTTATTGTCATCATTGTTTGATACAGCTTTTCCCTTTAAAAAAGGCGGGGTGGGGTGGGAAGTAAAATAATTATCCCTGGGGTGGAAGCAACCCAACTGAAGCATACAAATCAGGCAGTAAACCAAGTGTTAGGCTGACAGAAGGGGAAACAACCAGATATGTCTGTCAGATTTCATTTAAGTTTCCCAGAAACTAGGAACTAGGAATATTAAAACACAAGAAAGCCAACCATCACTGGGGTGGGGGGGTTTAAAAGGACTGCATCACCATGTTGCAATCAACAAAGACCATAGTTAACAACAAAGCATTCCTGAAGCAATCAGGGTAGGCATGCAGTATCTTGAACCATGTTAACTATCAGCTAATTATTAACTATTAGCTAATTAACTATTAACTAATAGTTAACCATCTTAACTATTAGCTCCTCCCTCACACTATTTCACTGTCCTCATAATTTAGTCCATTATTGCCTATGCCCTCCATCCATCCCATCCCTCCAACACATCCCCATATCTCCAAGGAGAAGTAAGCAAGAACCATACTCTTCCATTCTCTACACACCCGCGGCATAAGAACACACCTGGTACACTGTTTTTGGATCTGAAATGGATGGGAAAGCCATGTATCTGATACTGGGAAAGACTGAAGACAGAAGGGGAAGGGGGTGACAGAGGACGAGATAGTTGGAAGGCATCACCGACTCAATGGACATGACTTTGAGAGTAAGCTCCAGGAGATGGTGAAGGACAGGGAAGCCTGGCATGCTACAGTCCATGGGGTCGCAGAGAGTTGGACACGACTGAGCGACCGAACAACAATGGTATATCTGATGTGTTTCCTGTCCACTATGCCCAGGCCCTTCACTGACACTGGCCCACCTAGTGCTGTCTGCACATCCTCAAAAGACAACATCCATGTCAAGACACCCAGAAGATCTCAGGGCAGGATGGCTCCTTTACTCTTTCCTGTCCTGTGTACGTCTGATCCCACTGCCCTCAGCTCCTAACTCTTGACCATGTCCTTGACCCCTTCCCAGCCTTGCATTCCTCACACTTGGCATTTGCAATTATGTCCAGAGTTAGATATTCAGCCCTTCTCACCCCTAGCTCTCAGTATCCCTACAGTGCAGGCAGACACTTATCCATCAAACATCACGTGTCCAGAGGCTGCCCACAGTGGTGTGAAGCGAGGATTCTGTACACTTTTATCAGACAACTCAACACACTGTCACGTCTTCATTTTTCCACTGACTGCAAGGTGGCTCACAGCTAAATTTAATGCTCACATGGACGAGCCATTTTCACTTAAGTTCCCCGGCAGAACAATCCCTTGTCTTTTCACCTCTGACTTCTTGTTGGAGAAGCCAACCATGCCAGCTGTCACAGTACTTTCTGAAAATAGCCAATGTATATAACTAGAGTATATTTCTTTCCCACTTTAAAGGAATGATACAGTTTTAGAGGTAGAAGAGCTCTTATCAGTCATGCACCCTAATATTTCCCAGAAATCAGTCCCCAGGCCTGCGCGAGTTGATGTTTAAAGGTCAGCGGTCACCAGAGAAACAAGCGGAAGGAAATAAAGAGCTTTGTCACAATGCTAAACACAATCAAAAGACAAATTCATGACACACCTACTTTTTCAGTATTAAAATATTTCTTCTTTCATGAAATGATATTAGCAGATGGTAGTTATTTTTGAAAAATCTTTATGAAAAATTGTAAACACAAAATAAAGAGATTAGCATACAAATAGAGAACACTCATGTACTATCCAGGTTAAACAATTACCAACATCCTTTAAGTACAGCCTGAAAAATCTAGTAAAAATAGGTCTTCATTTTTTGTCTTCCTCTTCCACAAAATCTCAAAGTGTGGGAATTATGAGGCTGGGCCAGCCTCTACATTTTACAGATAAGGATTTGGAGCCTAGCAGAGATTAACCCGTCTAGAGTTGCACAGCTGGTCAGGAACTAATATATCTGTTATGCCATGATATGGTTTTGGAGCAGAAACCAATCCTTTTTAACCTGTCAGACTTTAACTGAGTCACAGCCAAGACCTGCAGAAGACCACCTTCTGTCCCTGCCCAGGGCACTTCATACAAACTACTCGGGAGCAGGTAGGCACAACAAATACAACCAAATGAGGAAAACCAATAATCCGTAACCAACGTTTACTTCATCTCACACTATAGCAATTGTGTCCCATCGCTGGAGGGCTCCAGGAACCACTAAACTGTTTCAGCACAAAGATTACTGAAAATAGGTCCATCATTACTGGAAAAAGGGTATCTTTTTAGATACCATATCCATGAGTTAATATACAATATTTGACTTTTTCTTTCTGACTTACTTCACTCTGTATAATAGGCCCTAGGTTCATCCACCTTGTTAGGACAGACACAAATACATTCTTTTCTATAGCTGAGTAATATTCCATTGTATAATGTACCACAATCTCTGTATCCATGGAGACACAGACCTAGAGAACAGAATTGTGGACACGGTAAGGGAAGGACAGTGTGGGGCTAATTGAGAGAATAGCCTGGAAACATATACATTCCCTTATGTAAAATAGATAGCAAGCGGAAATTTGCCGTGTGACACAGGAAATTCAGCCCAGTGCTCTGTGACAACCTAGAGGGGTGGAGTGGGGAGAGAGAGGGAAGGGGAGTTGGAGAGGGGACACACATATACCTCTGGCTGATTCATGCTGATGCATGGCAGAAACCAACACAATATTGTAAAGCATCCTCCAATTAAGAAAAAAAAAACACGGCTGAAAGTTCTACATTAACTTCTCATCCAGTATTTCCCTCCCTATCTCCAAAATTATAAGGCAAATTTTGAGTGAGTGAATGAGAATCCACACAATAAGGTAAAAAACCAGCTACCAACCCCTTTTTCCAAGCCCTACTATGCCCCCATCAAACTAGCAGATGGAAAAAAATCACATAGCAGTGGAGGTAATAAGACCAGGCAGCTACACTCCTATCTCACAGAACCGTGGTAAAAAGAAAAATCAAACAAGACAGTATGAAGCAACAATGTTTTAATGCTCTGCAAAACTTTATCAGTGCAGGAAGATGACCTGTTGAAAATAAAATATTTTTTTTAACAGACTCACCTAAATTCTCAGTTTATGTGAAGTCGATTTCCCTGAAGCATCTGAGAATCCTTCAGCAGCAATACCTAAAACAGTTATGAAAACCATCAGAATCAACTAATGTTATAGACATCAGTTTTCAAAAAAAAAAATCTCAATCTATACATTTGGTCATTTCCCCACACTAAGTGCTAAAGGAAATAACTCAGGAAACAATGAATTTCCGCTGCAACACATGGGCTGGGAATTTTCCTGACCAACAGGGAATCGAGGTCCCAAGGCACTTATTTCAGAGACCAACATTACGTTCCAGTTGGCAAAGAAGCAAAACACATTATTTTCTTCCCTGTGATGGGAATGTTTAATGGCTTTAGATTTAAACAAAGATCAAATATATACATTATCCTTCCTGCCCCCACCTATATTTAAAACAAAAATCACAGGCACTGCACTGGTTGTTTTTAAAATCAGCATCCACGAGCTCTTGTCTTATTCACTTTTTTCCTCCGTAGCTCCTGAAACCTGTCTGTGAAGCAGTCCCGCCTTGCTTCCACTGTTTCCATCTCACTCCCAGTTCTCTGAGGCACTGATAACTGAGCATTTAGCACCTTATCCATGCAAACCCAATTTGAAAGACAGAAGAACCATAATCAATCATAGATTATGGCCAATAAAATGGGCCAGCATTACACATTAAACAGTTAATGCTGTTAATAGTTAAACAATGGCCAGAGTGAGAACATATATATGAAACAATCAAACAATAAACATGCAGCCACAGAACCAAGTTTCATATGAAATAGACCAAGTGCATGTAATCTAGTCTGGGTAGGCATGTGAGACTAGTTAATAAAAGATGTTGGCTGGCTGTATGGGAGGAGAGAAAAACCTAGCACGTCTCTCTCTCTATCTCTATTTAAAGAGAATAAATTCAAAATAGAATCAATGAGTACTAGAAAAATATACAGATGAATAGTTTTATAATATTAAGATAGAAAGGCCCTTTGTAAACATGACATCAAAATGTAAAACACAACGACTGAGACATTTGGCTGGCAACATTTTTTTTTTTTAAATCTCAAATACAGGAAAGGCAAAAACAAGCAAAAAAGAAAGACAACAAACAAACAAACTTAGATACTTTGGGTAAAATAAGAAACTAAGTAAAATATTCATACAAGAGCTATATGAAAGGTCGCTATCCTTACAGGAAAATGTCTGAAAAGCCTGTAAGGGGGGACTTTCCTGGCAGTCCAGTGGTTAGGATTTCGCCTTCCAATACATGGGGTGTGGGTTCAATCCCTAGTCAGGGAGCTAAGATCCCCCATGCCTCAAGGCTAAAAAACCAAAACATAAAAACAGCAGCGGTATTGTAACAAATTCAATAGTCTTTAAAATGGTCCATATTAAAAAAAAAAAACTTCTTAAAAAGTCAGTAAAGAAATTAATACCCCAGCTCAAAACGGATGAAGCAAATTAATAAACTTCCCATGAGAAGAAATAGAACAGTGAATGGTAACAAATGCATGAAGAGATACTCAATTACACTAATAATGGGAAAATACAACTTCAGAAAACCGAGCTCTTTTTATCTGTCAGATTGGTGATGATGTCCAAGACTGACAGGAGCTGTTGTTATGGCCACAGCTCACGATGTAGCCACTTTGGCAATCATGTCAGCATGTAAAATGGCACACCCTTTGATCTAACAGTCTTTCTCTAAGAATCTACTCAAAATAGATTATTGTGAAAGCAGAAAGCTGGATACACATAACATGTTTATAATCACTGAAGGTAGAGAGAGTAAGTATCCTAAAGGTTTACAAATAGGAGATGTCAAGTAAACATGTATTTATTGATGATATTTATTGATACAAAAAGAGCCATGATACACTTCTGAGTGAATAAAACAGGCAAGACTTCCCTGGTGGCACAGGTGATAAGAATCTGTCTGCCAATGCAGGGAACATGTGTTCGATCCCTGGTCTGAGGAAGATCCCACATGTTGCGGAACAACTGAGCCCATGTGCCATAACTACTTAATCCTGTATGCCTAGAGCCCATGCTCCACAACAAGAAAAGCCACCGCAAATAGAGAAAGCCCGTGCACAGCAACAAGACTCAGTGCAGCCACAAATAAATAAATAAAAATTTTAAAATAAAATAAAACAGGTAAATGACCATGCAAAGTATGATTACATTTCTGCATGTGCATGTCAGTGCTTCTAGATGTCCTTATACATGCTAAAAGGACGTTTATTTAAACAGTAATGATTGCCCAACTATCTGAATTTTAAAGCATTCCTGCTTTTCTTATAACTGTTTGAATTTCATATAATGAGCATGAATTTTTTTTTCCCCAAAGAACACGGTGGAGCTGTTTTTTAATGTCACGCTTGAGTGTAAAGTAATATACTGTATAGATTGCTACTTTCTCTCCATCACCTTCTCTCTCCTCATTGTAATGCTTGTGTGACACATGTGCTTGCTGTGAACACTGATGAGAGAGGGCCCTTCCTTCTCTCTGGCTCCTGTTCATTCCTGAGGGCCACTTCATCCTTGCCTTAAGCTCCTAAGACACACTTCTATCCTTATTATAAATCTCTCTCTCTCTCTTTTTTTTTTAACTTAAGCTAGCTTGAGTTGGTTATCTGTGACCAAAGGAACCCCATGTAACACAGTGCTGCTTTTGATTTTCCACCTTCTCAATCATCCATTCCATTTGAAAATAGAACAGTAAATCTTGTAATCACATGAATGAAGATTTGTTGTATACAATGCCATGTATTGTTTATGACCTACAGCCAAAGGAACTGAAGCAGGCAGCTCAAAGTTAGTATAACAAAGGCAAAAATACTATTCAATACTTCAAGAGATAGACGAGCTCTTTCCTGACTAACATGAGAACCCATGAAAAGACTATTTGAAAAAGAATAAAAACAAAGGGGACATATTTGTCCAGATGGGCTATTTCTACTGTTAAAATAGTCTCCATTATCATGTTTTAACCACTTTGCCGATTTATTTTTATTGGGTTATATTTACATATGAAAAGCTTTATTTTCTTTCTATTTAGACTATAAAGTACAGAAATGTATTCCCATAATGGGCCCATTATGTTCAATTTATCTCCAGCAGACAAATTTACTCTTCTCATTGCCCTATCTTTAAAGGTTCAGAAGTTCCATATAATACAAGAATACTCCTAAGACTGTAATTACGAACCTGGCTAAAAAGCAACAAATATACAAATCCCTTCGGAGGTGTATTGGATGTCAAATACAAATCTAATTAATCCCCCTCAATCTCCCAAAGGGTCCTCTCCCCAAAAAAATTTGTCTAGAAAGTAGAAAAAGGACTATCCAATTTCAAAGACAAGCCATCAAAGGTTTAACTAAACATCTGTGCCTCCAGGGCATCACTCAGACAAACACGCAGGCCACCCAGTGCCCACTGCTGGCCTCTGTTTTGACCGCCCCCCGCCCCAGGGCAGGGGCATCTTTCTAAGTAGATAGATGGGGGAGCCAGGTAAGTCCATATTTGAGGCTGAGATACATCAGGATTTGAGACAGAACATGGCATTTAGGGGAAGAGCAATAGCACAGGGATTTACAGTGACTGATCCTGATTCTGTCATTTATTAGACCTATTGAAAAGCAGAGACATCACTTTGCCAACAAACGTCCGTATAGTCAAAGCTATGGTTTTTTCCAGTAGTCATATATGGACATGAGAGTTGGACCATAAAGAAGGCTGAGCACTGAAGAATTGATGCTTTCGAACTGTGGTGCTAGAGAAGATTCTTGAGAGTCCCTTGAACAGGAAGGAGATTAAACCAGTCAATCCGAAAGGAAATCAACCATGAATATTCATTGGAAGGACTAATACTGAAGCTGAAGCTCAATACTTTCACCTGATGCGAAGAGCCAACTCACTGGAAAAGACCCTGATGCTGGGAAAGACTAAAGGTAGGAGGAGAAGAGGCCAAGAGAGGACGGATGGTTGGATGGCATCGTTGACTAAATGAACATGCATTTGTGAACATGAGCAGACTCTGGGAGGGAATGAAGGACAGGGAAGCCTGGCATGATGCAGTTCCATGAGTCGTGTCGCAGAGTCGGCGCAGCTGGATGACAACAACAATTAGTCATTTGGCCTTGGTGCACCTCAGTTTCTTCCCCTGTAATAATGCCCAGGAAAAGGGCTGTTGTGAGGATTAAAGGCAATAATACATCTAAAACAATGAGCTAAGTTCAAGAATCAAACATAATCTTGCTTGACCTCCAGCTCAGTGGGAGCTGCGATGGCCACTGCCCACAGGCAGAAACTCATTGCCTGATCAGAGCAAGGTCCCTAGAGAACCCTAGGACAGCATATGTCTCTACATAGGACACTTACCTATTCAAAATGACTATTTTAAACATGAATAAGACCCTTCCAATTAAATAGAAATTTAATCTAAAGGTATCAGGAGCCTGTGATTTGAAGGAATGCTGACTTTAAGAAGCCTTCTCTGGATCATATGATAAACTTCTTGGCAGCTCCCATGTTTCACCTTTTCTGGAGTATTTTGAGAAGTGTTTATAGACATGATCAAAAGGCAGAAAAGCTGCTGGCTAAAATGCTTGTCACCAACAGAAGGACCTAACTGTTTTGTTTTGTTTTTTGCACACCTTAGACCACCTCCTCCTTCCTTGTGGAAACTTAGATATAACTCCCCAAGTCCCACGTCATTCATTACCAGAGAAGAGAGAGCAATACTTACATACTTCAGATGCAGAAATAAAATGGATGGGTAAAGTTTCCAACACAGTGCATGGAGCCCAGTAAGTGTCCAGTTAAAAGGTACATCTTTAAATGATTCATCTGAACAGCAGTAAAGAAGCAAAACGCATATTAAGTAATCTGGGACTATACAAGGCACTTTTTCACCATGAGAGTCTTATGGACTCTTTTTTTCCCACATCTCACTTGGCAAAATCCCCACAGGAATGCAGGGCCAAGCTAAAGGGGGTTTTAAGCCATGAGAGCCTGCACAATGTATATGGCTGAAATCACACTATGTGGTCAGACCCAAAGGAGCCAA